CTTAGTTCACCTTAATCTCTAATTGGGCCAATAAAGAATCTCTATCATGAGCTTCCAATGAAGCAGCAAAGTGCTAAGCAGATTGCGTTTACTTTCCCCAGTCCTACAGTGGTCTGTGCCTAATGGGGCCCTGGTTCTCAGCTGTTCTCCAGCACTTACAGACTCTAGCACTGTCAGGACAACTTGGTGTTAGTTTCTTACTACCAATTTGTGTTGTTCGTGTGAAGTGGTCTCTCAAGGATTCAGATAATTGGTTCCTTGAAGAGAATGAGGCTGCATTGTCTGCTTATGTTACTGATTCTGAAATAGTCTCTTTTCTGATTCAGAGATGCTAAAAAATTGGAACCATCTGATATTGCACATGTGACTTTTGGTCTCTTTTCAATTAATAATATGATGTACATCACCATAGCAACACCAATGGACTTCCCCTTCCTGTCTCTTGAATAGAACTGGAGACTCCAGAGGCTGTGATTTAGGAAGGTCAATGCTGCTACTTTACCTTCAGAGGCAGCACCAAGCATGGCAATTTGAAAGGCTTCTCATCTTCTTTCTTATTATCATCCAAGACAACTATTTCATCATTTTCTCTCGGAATAATCCTCAAATATGTTCACATTGTTAGTGTGTACAACCATGTACAATATGCATACACACATGTATGTATGTATGTATGTATGTATGTATATATGTGTGTACTCAATATACATATTCCTCAATAGATGTATGGCTTTTCTGAACAGAAATTGGATTCTGTGTGCTCAGAGCCCATCATACAACAAGAGTACAATAGCCATGGAAAGAGGAAAAAAATGAATCAGAGATCGGATCATGGATGCCCTGTGAAGTGGCTAGTGCAGCTTTCAGAGAGCTTCTTTATTCCTCAGGAATGAAGAACTCAAAGGAGGTTTTGAAGATGAGATTGTTCAATTTCTCCCAAGTAAGAAAGATTTTTTTCTTGTCTAGTCTCACTATTGGAACTTAAACACAATGCTTTCCCAATATTATCTTTTGTTTTATCTTACAAATAACCTACTTTATACTAGATATTAATCTAAGCACTTAAAATGATTAGCAAGCTAAGGAGCTTGATTATTAAAAACAGTTAATCCTCACCTTTTAAAAAAAGTAAGACATTTGAATCCCTGAATATGCTCATTCATCACAACCCCCAATAAGGCATCCAGGAATTCTTCATGTAGGACATTAATAATTTTCACAAAAATGCAGTTGCTAATGGTGTCTTACAGCCACACAGTTTTATAAAACAAAGCAAATGATTACCATCAATTATAATAACCTCACTAGACAAGGCTACAGATAGCGACCACTGCAGTGTGCCGAGGAAAACGCCTTGTATTAATTGACTCATCATGATCAGCAATGATAGATGGGGCAGATGGTAATGCAATTACTCACTGTCAACAAAATAAACACATACTTTGTTGCAAGAAGTGTCTACTTGGGTCTTCTCAAAAGACAGCCAGAGATAGAGACTGAGGGAGGCTTTGAAGGCAGTACAAAAGAAATAGGAAAAGTAAAGCTACAGGGTAATAAATATTTGCCTTTCCTGAGGCTAACTAGAATTTGACTGGAAGAAGTTTCTGGAAGAAAGTTATGGACTATGTAGAGTTTAGTAATTAGAAGGTACATTAAAGCTAATAGTTCCCCCATTGGTTAATATGTGTGTAGGGCTTAATAAATCAAACAATGGGAATTCACTATTTTCAGAAGCAAACTCATTTCATTGATAGATAGCTCCCGTTGTTAGAACATGTATTAGGTTGAATGTCTTCTGCTTGCAGCTCCCGCTACTGGCCCTTCATATGGCATAGGTGCTCAACTCTTCTTGTTCACTTGGGCAGGTTAAATAACTCAAAAGCCAACTGTGTGCACAGCAACCCTCATATGACATTATTTTAGCGCCTCCAAAATGCTGGTTTCTAGCATTAAAGCAATACCAGCTTATAGAACATGCAAACTGAGGGGCTTGGGAAGAAATGTGATGACAATGTTGTAATCTGTCCCAGGGTGAGATATAGCTGAGGCTGTGCTGCAGCAGATATAAAGAGAGATAGAGATAGAGACAGAGACACAGAAACAGACAGAGAGAGACAGGATAGAGAGACAGACCGAGTCAAGAGAGAGGCCGAGAGAAAGACCGGTGTGTGTTCTCATTTCTTGAGAAACTGTTCCCCAAATCTCAGTACATAGTATGCCAGCTTGCCATTTCCAAGCCACAGTTACTATTAGACCCCTCCCTTTCCCTTCTTCACAGTAAGGACGTGTTAAGTTTTCTCTGTTTGGAAAAGTGGGACTTCTTGGGCAGAACATTTCCTGAAACTGGCATGGCGGCTGCTAACCAGTATGTCCTGGGAGCATTTACAAATATACAGACTCAGAGCACTCTCCTGGAGATACCAAGTTCATCTGGTCTGGGGAAGGACTGGAGCATCAGTTTGGACAGTGTCTTCCACCCTTGTTACTTTTTGTTTGCTTCATGGTTTAAATGTCCACATTAATGAGCACTCAAGAACAGTTAATACTATGCCATAACCAGGATCACCTGGAAACTTTTATTTTTTTTTCTGAGACATGGTATTACTATATAGCTCAGGCTAACTTCAAACTTATGGTCATTCTGTTTCTGCCTGCCTTGTGCTGGTATCACAGACATCCACCACCATGTCTGTCTTTCTGGGAACTCTTAAATGTAGATTCTTTGAAGCATCTAGTCACTGTGGTTAGCAATATATCTAGGAAAATTAATATATTAAGATGTTAAATTATTATGTATTAATTAAGATGCATTCAAAATTATAAGTTGTCATTGTACATGCTACCAATCATTCTAGTTAAACATTGAGGTAACAGGAAGAACGGTGTAAAGATTTCAATCTAGAGCCATCTATATTTTTACCTATTCATTGAGATAGTGTTTCTACTTTGAAGTAGTGCTGTAGTCAACGCTGATATATGGCAGGCCAGAGGAAGGAAAAAAAAAAAAACAGAATAATGACCAATGGACATGTAAGTCAACAGATAAGGTAACAAAATAAACTTTAAAATAACACATATTATCACAAGGAAGAGTTAAATCTGCCAACACTTCCTACTTGAGACTGACCTAACCCAGTTCTTCTGAACTTTGAGTTTTGCCCTGCTTTGGTTATATTTCCTGCCATGCTCTAGTTCAGTACTTGTAGCTCTGGAGAGAAGTTTTCTGCTACTTGGTTACTTTTAGCAGACATCCTTAATCAATCCTAGAACATTTCCCCCTGCAGATTTGAAGAAAATCCTACACTGCCACTGAAGCCCATTGTCTATACAGCCATTACTAATAGATGGCAGATAAAGTACCTTGTGAGATCTACATGCAGTGTCTCAAACACATAGTGCCCCAACATGCCTGGAGGCCTTTTTCTTATCCTGTCCCTCATTTCATGCTTTATCTTTTCTTTAAAGTCTATCAATTGAGCACTCCTTACATCTGGGATCCCACTAAAATTTTAAAATATCTTTGAGAGGTGTCTAAATTGTGCCTTAGAAGCATCACATGACATCCCAAGATAACATGGTATATATCAAAGCAGGGGCTACAAATTCAGGCCCTTTGACTCCAAAGCTGATATTTTAAAATTATTCTTCATTGCTTCTCTTCAAGCCCAGTTCAAAGGGCACCTCCTCTGTGAAACTTCCCTGACCCTTTCAAGTAGAATGTGTCATGTCTTTCTTTGAGGCTGCCTGCGCCTTTGTACCTCTCCATTTCAGCATGACATTATACTTCAATGATTTGAATATAGTCCCCTTTGAACTTCTTTGGAGAATGAACTCTTTTCTTCTTTTTCATTTTTAAATTCATGTGTCCCTAGTAACTAGTAGGGTCCCCAAGATGACTCCCAGTCTATGTATTTTGAATGCACATCAAAATCTGGCTTATGAATTTCTTCAACTTGTGGTCTATTTGATGGTATGTAGCCTTAGCACACATTAGAACAAAACAAAACAAAACAACCCCCCAAAACAAACAAACAAACAAAAACAATGTCAGGTTTTAATCATGACCTTAAATAACAAAATAAAAAGATCATAAAAATGTATATTGTTTTAATTTTAAAGTCTTTTATTTGACATCAGTTATTAGGATTCTTACTAGGAACCTACATACAGTTACTTATTATATGAGAACACCTGATCCTTAAGTTATAATTGTTCATAAGTGTAAAGAATAAAATAGGCCAAGTGTCATATCAAAGATGAAATCTGGCTAAACCTTATCTCTTATCTCATCTGAAACTGTGGTTCATTGCTTTACTTTGATTATTTTTGTCTGAACTGATGGTGGCACATGGCAACACTCACCATCAATAGTGTGACACAATGGAATTTCCATTCTGCAAAATTTCAGACAAACTCTTCAGTTCCTTGACATTGATTTCACAGTGCATTGCATTGCATGTTTGGGCAAGTAATACCATTTCACCAGAAGGGAAGCTGTGCTGTCATACAGGATGCATGGGAGGCCAATGGTTCAGAGGTAAAAAATGGAGAGGCACAGAAAATGTGAGGGCTTGAGGTTAAATAATTCTTCAGTGGTCGCAACCCCACATAGAGGTCACATATCAATTATCTACATTATGATTCATAACAGTAGTAAAATTACACTTACGAAGTAGCAGCAAAAATAATGTTATTGTTGGGGTCACCACAGCATGAGGAACTGTATTAAAGGGTCTCAGCTCTAGGAAGGTTGACAAGCACTGCCCTTGGACATGTCAGGGTGAGAGTCCCAAGAGACCTGTATTAGTGTTTAAGAAGGAAATATTGTATCACTTGTAGTCTCTCCAGGGAATCTGCAAAAGACACATGGAAAAAGGAGGCAGGACCCTTCTTTCACCGAGTCAAGGGAAGCCTTCCCATCTGTGATTGTTTGAATTGAAACAGGCACCGGATCTGAACATGTTGGCACTAAATCTTAGTACTTTGGAAAATTCACATACCTCCCCAGAGAAGGCCTGTCCATTGAGGAGGTGCTCTGACCCTTGGCTGTCCTCACTCCCAAAGTGTAGCCGGATCTCCTCCAGGCGGTGGCTGTATGTCATGGGCCCTCCTGAAATGTTGACCAAGTGCTCCTTGTCCAGGCGGAGGGACACATGCCTTCCGGTGTTGTACATAGTCCCACTGACCTACAAGGCAATGGAAAACAGGTCAGATAGGGGTTTTCCTTCCATTTCCCCCCCAAGCTCAGAGAGGTGCATGCCATATATATCTTCAGGATAAATCCACATGTGGAAGGACATGGCAGTCTCTTCAGAGGGTTTTCTTTCTATACCCAGCTTCTAAAGTACTTCTGGTGACACTAAGGAACTTGAAGGGAGGAATTTAGCAGGTTTCTCTCCAACTGTGATGACTATTTTGTACATCACATAGTTTATCCCTCTCATTGTAGTTGTCTGTCTGCAAGGTAGAGATGGCATAAAAGTTCAAAATCTTGGGTGTAAGAAACCAGGGAAAGCAATGAGCAGAGCATTTAAGGGGTCCAAGTGAGGGATGAGAAAGCCACTGTCTCAGAGGGAGACCAATACACTTTGAAATCTCAAGCACCCAGCCAGTTGTCTCAGTTAGATCCCTCTCCCATCCTAGTAGCAGACATCACACAGAAAGTTCTGGTCCTCACTCAGAGAATGTAGCTTCAGGGCTATCTAAAGAGTTACATGGGGTCCCATTTCTCACATCCAAACCTTATTTCTCATTCCTGGTCCCATCTTGCTTCAGTACCTCCCACTACTTGCCTTTTTCTTTGGATCAATTTTCTGGGCTCTACAAATGACCTTGTATCATTCTCATCTTGGAGTCTCCCTTCTTTCCCCAGTTTAGCTTGGAAAGCTTGGGAGAGACTTTGAAGGAAACTTGATGGGTTGCTTCTGGGTTTTCGGATGCTGAATTACTAGGATTTTCATCCTCTTTACTCTTTAAGTAGATAGTTTTCTCTCAGCAATTCCTTAGAGACTTCCTATAATTTCCATCTATCTGTCTATCTGCCAGCCAATCAATCATGAACCATTTACCTATCTATTATCTATTAGTTATCTATCTCCTAATATCTGGCTATATGTCTCTTCAGTGAGAGAGTGTCTTTTTATGTAGCTCAAGTTGGTCTCAAACTCCCAATCCTCAGACCTTAAGTTCTGGGACTAAAACTATGCACCACTATGCCACTATCCAATGATGTAATTAGTTATGTTCTTTAAGTATTTGTCCAGGGGCTTGCCCTTCTACATTTCTGATCCTGGTCTTGTGAGGGATTGGTTTAGTTCTTAGATTGCTAAGTATGTCAGACAGTGGCATTCACCATTACTCCAGTAACTGTTACTGGAAGGCAGGGTCCATGTGGGGGCAGGTAGTGAAGGGGAAAAGGGAGTGAGAGAAAGCCAGAGTGAGAGTGAGTGAGTGGGCAAATGGATGAAAATCACCAAAACTCTGTATTTCTTTGTAGATCTTCATTCAAATTACTCAGGGCACCTGGGCTGCATTCATCAGAGACTTTACATCTTATCGGCAATTTTCTTTATTATTAATTTTTTTAGCTAACTTTTCTTGTCACCAAGTGATCCGTGTGAAAGGTTCTACTCCCATTTCTCCAGTCTAGCACACGTGTATTGCCAGTTCCTATGACAAAAGTAGCATATGTCTCTTTTAAGTTCCAGTCCAGGACTTTGTATGTAACAGTTTCTCCCAGTATTTCAGAAACACACTGACACAAGGCAAATGTAAGAATTGGGGTCTTTGGTGTCAAAAGATTCCCAGTCCACTTCTTGTCAGCTATGTGACTTTAATTCCACGAAGCTTCAGTCCATAATCATATAATTGATGTAACACAAATTTCCTCATGGAAATGAGGGGTGAGAAATAAAACAGCCAAAAGAAAACCATAAGCCATCTTCAAAGCAAATAGTCAAGTGACAGACAAATTAGTAGTTACTTTAACTATAAAGGAACCTCATTTATATGAGGTGTCTAAAGAAAGCATTTTAAATTGCAGAGACAGCAAGTAGAATAGAGATGGGAGAGCCTGGGGTCAGGAAGGAAAGGGAAGTTAGTGTTTAATGGACATAAAGTTTCAGTTTTGCAAGACAGAAGTTCTGGTGGTGGATGGGTTGAAGGGTATGCAGTGTCATAAATGTATTTAATACTTTTGAACTAAAGTGATTAAGGTGACAAAGTTTAAGTTATGTATATCATATTCATGGTAAAGATGAAAACAATTCCCCTGTGAAGTCATATTATTAAACAAATGCCAGGATGTGGTGGCACACAATTTTTATCCCAGCACTCAGGAGGCAGAGGCAGACAGATTTCTGTGAATTGGAGGCCAGCCTGGTCTGCAGAGCAGTTCCAAGACAGGCTCCATGGCTACAAAGAATTCCTGTCTTGAACCCCACCCCAGAAAAAACAAACAAACAAACAAACAAACAAACAAACAAAAAAAATAATATTTGCATTGGCCCAACATATTCATTCTCTTCCCCTCTCTTTTGGCTAGTGCATGCATGCCTCACTGGTGTTGAAGGATGCTCCTCCTCCATCTCCCTTCCGCCCACTTCCTTCTCTTTCCAGAACCTGGTGGATTATGATGGTACTTGTGAAACATCACTCAGTTGCTACTTTCAGATGATCTACTTGGACTTAATTATGCTAAATATGGGTAACAGACAACATATTTTGAAGGCTAAAAAGCAAAACAAAACTAGAAGAATCAAAAGATAAATCATTTTGCTTTTTGGTTATCTATTTTCCCTAGATTCCCTTCTATACATATGGTTGTATCTTCATTAATTAATTCATTCATTTTCAGTTAATTCTCATTCATTCATCAGCAGTTCATTCATCCAGGTTCAGTGTTGTGCTAGGAACTTGGGATACTATGAGGAGCATGCATGGTCTTTGTCTTCACAAAACTCACACTTCCCTATGCAAGCCCCTAGTGTGCATGCAGCTGGGGGGATATATAGCATACACCATTACGTTATTACAATTAGATGCAATATCTTCTTATCTATACCCTTTCTCTAGACAATGAAATAACATTAATTTGTATTAATCATAAAAATATGTGTAGCCAGGGTATGGTTTGTTGCACTTTAATTTAAAAATAAAGGCTTGTCAATGTTATGTATGATATCTGAATCTAACAGTACATCTGCACCATAGTAATTAACACTGCACCCAGTGTCATTTTATCTGTAATGCTAATTACTGTGTTTCCAATGAATGAGTTTTGTGCACAGAATGTTGGGAAAAGTTTGCTTATGCAGACTGGGAAACAGGTGAGTGGAGAAGCTGCAGCTGCAGGGAATATCCAGGTCGCCCCTGACTGTCCCAGAGCTCGCTAGCCTTTGTCTCAATTCAGTGCAACTGGAGGCAAGGAGAAGAAGCAACACTCTGCCCATTTCATATGAAAGTTGGGTCTGGGGTGTCATTTATTTTGCATGTAGATAAGTTTTTAGGCAATTCTGGGGGTGTGGGTGTGGCAGGTAATAGAACTGTTTTTCAAGAATATGGAGGACTCAGATTGGATGCTAGGCTGCTGTCCACTTTAGGATGAAGATAGAAGACCTTGTTTCCCTAGCTACAGGGATTTAAGACTAGGTGGAGCTACATGTATTAAAGGAAGCAGGGCATATATGCCTGTTGAGGTGGTATGCCAATAGTATCAATAACTTGCTTACACTGACCATGTGAGGAATGCTGACTTATCCCTTATTCTTAGATGAAGGACATTAAAGACTGCACTTACAGTTTCTCCATGGGATCCCAGTAGAGGTGGTGCAAATCTTTAATCCCAACACTTGGGAAGCAGAGGCAGGTGGACCTCTAAGTTTTAGGCCAGCCTGGTCTGTAGAGTGATTTCCAGGACAGCCAGGGCTACATGGAGAAACCACGTCTTGAAAAACAAAACAAAAATGTTTCCCTATGGGAAACCCCAAGAGCCCCATTATCCTCCAGAACATTGGGATTCCAAGTTCTACAGCTCTGAATGTAAGTTATAGGTCGTCAGGAAGAGGTGGTGAAACTATGTGGTTTATATGTGGCATCTGGGATTAGGGATCAACTCAAACAAAATGTAACATTAATGCAGAGATGTCAGAATGTGTTTAATTTGCCCAAGCCTGGGCAGGACACCTTTGGGGGAGTTTCCAGATCTAGGGAAGCAAGATATTAGTTCTCACTTTCTGAGAACGGAGAGATGGGTAATGTGTCCAGTGTAGGTTTACCAACCAAAAGTCTGATCCCATAATTAGGAAGGCCACTTGGTGCCAAGAAGGGTTAGTGAAGAATGGCCTACAGCCTGTCATAAATTAGGTGTCTTTTCTTTGCAACTCAGCTTTCCTATTATGCATCTTTGACTGGCCTGCTGAAGTGTGTAATAGGTCTTTGCAATGCAATTAGTTAGTGTAAGGGGTTTAAGAACACTGCTTAGCCTGGTTTCCTGCAGAGTCCTGATACAGACACTAAGGGGCTGATTTGTGAAGGCGGAATGCAAAAAGCTGGGGGTCTGCTTATTCACAAGGCACACTTGGGGCACTGTTCAAGGAAGAACAGTGTGGAAGAACCTACTGATCTCCAGTCATGAACAGTGCTGCAGCCCAGTGAATACAGGTGGATGAAATGAGGGCCAAATGGAGCCTGGAGTTAAAATGACTTCAGGAATAATCAAACCCAATAAACCAGAAAACTGAGACAGATCCCAAGCTAGAAGTCATCCCCGCCTGACTTTGTTCATTGATCTGATGGGCCCATTTCTCCCGAGTCTTCTTTAAATCCAGTTTACAAAATCAGTATACAAAGAATTAGGCCTCATTATAGCAGTTTCCAAACAAAATTGATTTATTTTTGTTGTCTCTCTTCCCCCTTTCCTTCCCTATGCTCATCCCCCACAGCCTTCTTTACACTCGAATGTTACTGAGATCTTTTGCTCCCTGGCCCCGCACCTTCCTGGATACCGCTTTTCTCTCCTTATGATCCCCTGCCTAGTTTCAGGGTCTAAACCCATGCTCCCACACTTCAAGTGTAAACTAATGCCGCTACTGTGGAAATCAGTATGGAGCTTTCTCAGAGCATTAGAAACAGAACTACTACATTATCCAGATAGACCTCTCATGCACGTGCTCCCAAGACTAGCCTA